ATTTATTTCTTCATATTATTTTTTATTATTAATAATATATGATAGATAATTCTGTTATCCATGTGGAAAGTAGAAACAGAAACAAGCTGACAAATAGTACTGCAATTTTGGTGAATAAGGCTTAGACTATAAATGGCTTAATTTACATAGAAGACATGTTTATATTGAAAATAATGACAACTAATTTAAATCATTTTAAATATTTCAGCACTGTTAGAACTGGGCTGAACTGAACTGTAGGTGGTTAGTGAATACAACTATGGTGTAAATGCTCAGTAAAATTACATCAAGTAAACAAAACTAGGTGCTGCACTTAACCTCGGGGAACAAACTATTGTGACCTCAGGCATGAGACCCTCTAAACTGGATGCCATGAGTATGATCTGTAAAATATTTAACAGTCCATCCTACCACATTGTCAGAAAAGTGAATGTTAACTAGACTCTTTGTAGGAACATCACATCTGACAGCGTCAAAGCCATTCAACAAATCACAAAACAGAGGCAGACAGCGTGTCGCATGATCGAGCGTTTCACTTATGTCCAATCCGCAGTCACGGCAGTGCAAACAGTACAGTGATTTGAACACAAACTAGTTGCTCAAATATTTATTTGGCATTGAATTTAGATTTTGCACAGATCTAGTCAAACATTTCAGATATTTCAAATGGACATGATTCAAATATGTGAACTGCATTGCTTGAATTCACCTCAGCATTTGCCATTAGAATTTTTAAGATTAAATGCTGCACATAAAAGTCAATTAAACCGAGCTCTGACATTTATTTGACATATAAAATGTATTGAGGAATCTGGGGTTATTTAGTTATTCTAGGAAGAATATCTTTCAAAACTTGCCCACGATACCCTTTTCAGACCAAGACTATCTCAATTCAACAATCCAATCTAAAATGTCAGTATAAAGGCAAACTTGCTATACAATCCCTAATTCCCATATAGAAAGCCAGTGGGCTAAATAACGGCAGTTTCATTGTTATAGTCAGCAGCTATCAGAAAAGGAAAATATCAAGTGGCACTGATTCAGAAATAGATTAGAAAATATTTATTGCATGTGTGCTGAAATAAAGTCCACTTATATCACGGCCAGAAAAGGAGTCAAATGAAAAGTAAATGGGAAGAACGAGGCTCAAGGATTTGCTGTATAGATGTACTGCAGGAAATCAATCAACATACACAATGACTAATGAAATAAATCAATAGGCTAAATCAACTGGCTAAGTTAAAGCCAACTAACAGAGTTCGCTAATAATAGTCACTAATACTATTGCACTGTAAAATATTTAATAATACATTTAAGTGATGATGATGATGATGATAATAATAATAATAATAAACTATTATACAATTACAATATATATATATATTTATTTATTTTATTTTTTGCTTTTTTGTTTTTCTTCAATTGCAGAGCAACCATTAAAAAAAGTTACCTGCCAAATGGCGAGTAAGCTGTTTCATATTTGCAAACTCTGAATGTTACTCACATTTGGCACTTGACGAGCGTTAATTTTATGCCCTTTCTGTATATATAACATCAAGTAGAACAGTCCAAATATATCATAGAACACACTAATATATACTGTGTATATATAAATATATATAGTATAGTATACATAGGGTAACACTTTACAATAAGGTTCATTAGTTAACTACATTAGTTAACATGAACTAATAATGAACTGCACTTATACAGCGTTTATTAATCTTTGTTAATGTTAATTTCAACATTTACTAATACATTATTAAAATCTTGTTAACGCTAGTTAATGCACTGTGAACTAACATGAACATCTGTATTTTTATTAACTAACATTAGCGTAGATTAGTAAATACAGTAACAAATGTATTGCTCATGGTTAGTTCATGTTAGTTAATATATTAACTAATGAACCTTATTGTAAAGTGTTACCATAAATAGTATGTAATACATATAGTATGTTACAAAATGTTGCTTAAGTCATTGACCGAAAAAGCAGCAGTCTTCAGTTTTAGTCTATTTTTTAGCTTGCCGTAGTTGCATTTTCACAACCCCTTTCAATATACTGTACGTGTGTGAAACCTCTTCAGAGGAACCTTTACAGAGATCTCATCCAGGTGTAACGTTATCTTCCTCTTCCCACTCTGTTTTTAAAATACCATCACTCGCTAAAGGATAGAGACATGAACCCCAGGAACAAGTTCACTCGGCGCGGCCTTAAAAAGAGCTTCAATCTTCAACTACATCAGCTCAGGGTGGCTGGAGAGCGAGTGAAAGAGATGTGATAAAGCGTGCGTGTGTGATGGAACTCGTGAAGAATCAACTTTTCGAACGGCAATCATGGCTCAACAGCCTTTCAGATCCTGCAAAACGACACCTTAGTCATGGACATCTGTACCTGTTAGCTTCGTCTCCCTACCGTTGAATGAGCTAGAATTAGTTTATTTTCAAGCAAAGAATGGCGAAATATCACACATCTGTCAAATAAAGATACAACAAGCATTCAGGATCAAGGTGGAGCGGCAAACCAGCATTATAAAACTTAAACAATGACTAGCTAGATGGGGGAAAAAAAATATCACAACTGTTACCCATGTTCAAATGACATTATGCAGACAGAGCGAAATCAATTAACTTCCCACTGCTTACATTGTTTTGGGTCGGAATGGCAATTGAGATTTGAGCCAGCTGTGAAAAACTGATACAAGACATCTTAGGTTGGTGATTTGGGAGCATTGTGAACATTTCAACATGACACACCTGCTGGTGTCAATGAAGGTGTAAGTTTGATACCCAGGAATATTTTTAATTGAAGTCTACGAGGGGAATAAGATAAGCTTTCTGTTCTGTTGTTGGTCCGTTCATACTCATTTGCACCGAATGAACTGTAATTTACACCCATTGACTGTCAGACTGATTCCTGTACTACAATGGAGGTTCAAAACAAGTATGAATGTGTGGGTCTTTAAAAGAAATACTGGGACAGCAAAGCTATCAGATATAACACAATGGCCCTTTTTATGAATGAATACTGTATTCAAAGAACAACGCAAAGAATGCAAAACTGTATGGTCTGTCAAGTTGTATGCAAAAAGTAATTTATTCTTGTGATGCAAAGCTGAACTTTCAGTCTTCAGTGTCACATGATCCTTCAGAAATCATTCTAATATGCTCATTTGCTGCTCAAGAAACAGTTCTTATTGTCAGTGTTGAAAACAGTTGCGCTGCTTCATATTTGAAAGGAAACTGAAATTCAATGCATCCTTACGGAATATAAGTACTCATATCTTTTCCCCCCAAAAAAAGCAAAAACAAACAAACAAACAAAAAAAAACACCTGAACAATAGCATATGTTGAGTAGAAGTGTTAGTGGGTAGAAGCTTCAAAAACAAACAACATCCAGATTTACATCCAACCTGGTCTCAAGACAAGCCGTAGACATTTGTACAAGATGGCAAAATCATAAGAGTTCTTATTGTCAGTGTTGAAAACAGTTGCGCTGCTTCATATTTTAAAGGAAACTGAAATTCAATGCATCCTTACGGAATATAAGTACTCATATCTTTTCCCCCCCAAAAAAGCAAAAACAAACAAACAAACAAAAAAAAAACACCTGAACAATAGCATATGTTGAGTAGAAGTGTTAGTGGGTAGAAGCTTCAAAAACAAACAACATCCAGATTTACATCCAACCTGGTCTCAAGACAAGCCGTAGACATTTGTACAAGATGGCAAAATCATAAGAACTTATATGAATTAACCAAAACATAACCATAAAGTCCAAATCTACAAACCCTATATCACTATAATAGTAAAAAACAAACTACAGTCTGTCTATGAGTTTAAAAATAAGTTGAAATCCTATTTTCTTACCTTGGCTTTTTAACTTTGTATGTTAAATTTTTGTTCTGGATTTTATTGATGTTTTTATTATTATTACTATTATTTTTTTTTCTTCTTTCTGGCTTTTTATTTTATTTGTACAGCACTATGGTCAACTGCTGTTGTGTTTATCGGTGCTTAATAAATACATGAAATACAAATGCAAAATATAAATACTTAAGTTTAGGTCCTATGATTTCAACATTATTTTGTATGAATTATTGTGCATTTTCCTGAGAGTGTTTTGTTTCAACACACATATTTTCAAGCAAAATATATAATAGTGCCTAAATACTGGATCGAAACACTAAAGTAGGACTACAATTTTCACAAGATGCATATGAGAAACAATGCCAAATACCTATCCAGTGTTCAAAAACATGACTCTTTTTTTTTTAATAACAACATGTAAAATATTTTCGGGAATGTTCCTTCATTAGTGCAATATAGCAAAAAATAAAAATAAAAAACTACAAACCTTTATAGTATGATCATTTACTGTAAATATTATAATATTATACAGCATATTAAAATAATAATTTACATATGGATGTAAAGTTACAGAGAGAAAATATTCCAATGTGTAGAAGTGAAATAAATAAGAACTATCCAGTGATTACGAGTTTGAATATCCAGTTTGCTCCAATTTTCGCAACTTGAATAAAAAGAGTTATTGGTATTTAAAATGCTTTTACAATTGTATTTTATCTCATTAGATAACAGACTGATCGCATTAATAATTTTATAACTCAAAAGTTGTTTTGTTGCAGCCACTGTCTGGCTGTCAGTGCACATGCTTAAACACAATGGACCTTGGTCTACCCAAATTCGAGTCTAGTTTGCATCATTTCCCAATTCCACACCAATCTCGGATCATCATTAAGAAAAGTATTTCATCAACTCTTTTTCAAAGTTCTGACACAACATCAGAGGGAGTTTCTGGCCAATTATTCCTTTAAACTCTGGCACCCATTGTTCCTACAATTAGGGAGACACAGTCTAATTTATCCACAGTGCTGACATATGGGCATTGGTTCATACAATGCCATAATTACCCATCAAAAAATATGGGGCTGCTTATTTAACTGCTGTTAATTAGTCAAACAGTCACAAACTTAAGGCAATAATTTCCCAGCCATGAAACTTAATGCAGATCTAATTGATAATTGGTGTATGCTTTTTTTTAGTTCCACGTCCAAGAAGGTTAGCAGTTCAGATTTCAGTACCGTGCACTACCTGCTCTTTTAGGTTGGCTGCTTCTTTCTCTGCTGGTACATGAACTTAACGCACAAAACGTAATATCAGTTGCAGCGTTGCTACAGCTACCATCAAAATTTAGCCTTAAATACAATTCTGTGAAATTCTCACACCATACTATTGTTCTTAAGTGTCTACACAATCATAACTGTACCTGCTGTTAAAGGCCAATAATGGACATTATTATATGAGCTAGAGCCTTATGTTCAGTTTTAAACATTAATGTGTAGCTGACATGACATTTCAAGCAGTTGTCCAGAGCAACCTGCTATACTTAAATAGAAACTATTTTAAGTTCTAGTTTATTTTTATACATGTACTTTTTTGCCATCAGAAGAAGTCCATTAAATTAAGTAGTAATATAGACAACAAGGAATAATTAACTGCAAAAAAAATAATTTGCAGCTGCATGACTATTTAAAGGAATATGGAAAATTATCATTAAAAATGTATGTTGTTTAGCCACCCTCATGTCACGTTTATGGTGACATAGGCAAAATCAATTTTTGAGCATTTCCAAAATTAAAATGTAGCTATATCCCTCCAAATCAGTGTGAAATACCACGCTTTACTATAACTCTGTTGCAGCGACATATCATTCTTATCAGCAATTATCACAACGTCCAGACAAATCAGACTATACATAATACAATGGTACATAATATTCCTATGATGACATTAACATCATCATAGGAAGCAAGATGAATAATCACAGTTTCAGGTACTGAATTATATAAAAAAAAAGACTTTTCATACCATATGCATGTAATGAATTGCACTGAATTGATACTCATAAGCAGATTTAAACAGAAAAAAACACACACTGTAACACATTTATCCAGAAATCTATTCTATGAATCTTAGGCCCAATTCTATTTTATACCCCTTCTCCTTCCCCTACCCCTCCGCCTTCCCCTTGTCCCTTGAAACAGAGTGTCAAGGGGTAGGGGTGAAAATATTCCCCTAAGAATTGGGACACCACTACTATACCGTCACACGTCATCATACGTCGTCTAACTCCTACAATACACACACCTATACTGGTGTGCATTAGAGCCTTTAATTACTGTTTTATATTAATGCGCTGCTTACTGACACACTCACACATTCACACACATACACATATATCGGAGATCACGCAGCTCACACATCCAGGAGAAAATAAACTTGTCAACGCTGCCCCGCGACTTTTATTAATAACAGTTTAAATACTGAATCGCTACATTATATTTTCCAGCAACGGGAGGATAAAATAGCTGTTTTTGAAGTAAACTCACTCAAAAAAAAAAGAAACGCACAGATACGCATACACGCAACATTCATCTCTCTCTCTCTCTTGAATTGGCAATATTTGAGAAAAGGGTTTAGCCATTTATAACTATTGGGGGTACTACCCCGCCTCAATGTCTATGGTGGTTATTGCTCTGATCAGATATGTAAATATGTTGTGGCACTATCGTGCAGTCTGTTATGATATGACGTTAGCAAACTTTAGCAATTTTTTTGCAAACATTTATTTGAGTAACATGACCGTAAATATGAACTCACGATTGAATGTAACATAAAACTAATTATTACTTAAACGTAAAATCTTTATTAATACCAAAAATGCTTACATTCATGTGTGTTTTTGTTCGCTCGGGCAGCCATGTTGCCGCTGAAGCTGGTTTACGCTGAGATAATTCATACCCCTTCGTTTGAAGTGTGGTCCCGAAAAATCTTCGTTTGAAGGGCTATCTGGCCCTTCCCCTTACCCCTACTCCTCCAACCAAAAGAGAATAGGGACACCCCTACCCCTTCATGTGAACGTGCGAAACGGAGGAGTAGGGGAAAGGGGGAGGGCTAAGGGGTAGAATTGGGATTGGGCCTTAATCTTACCTGTAAGTAAAAGTTATCTGCCATGTGTTTGGTTTTGGCCTCAAGCAACTGTGAGAGCTCCCCTAATGGTTGGATGTCTTCTTCTTAATTTTTAATGGCGGTTGGCATCCAGCTTATTGGTGCAGTATCGCCACCATCTGTTTCAGAGTGTGGATCAATCAGTAGGTTTACAATCTAATTCTAGACGATGATATGAGAAAAAAGGGGGAATAGGAGCAAAAATAAACTATCCATCATATCCTATAACAAAGCCAAGTATCCCTTAAAAAAAACAGTTCTCTAACCTGAGCTCTTTCAGGCATACTTAGGGTTGATTTTAAAGTAAGTTTCTGCACCTCTATTTCTTATAGTAGTTTTTTTTCCCATCATCTCTCTTTGTGTGTTGTACTTCCTACACTGTAGAATTACATGCTCCACTGATTCTTCTTCCTGACATTCGTCACACAGACCAGACTGGTGTTTCCATACCATTTTTAATCTTTTATTTAGAGCACAAAGTCCCAGCCTTAACACAATTTCCTCTCTCCTGTTCCCAATTTCTACCCTCTTTGCTTTAATACTCTTTTGAATTTGGTGGATGGGATGACTCCCTTTCCCCTCTTTATCTCACATCTATTGCCACATTTGGTTTATTTTTCCCCAGATTATGCTTTTCACTTCTGCTTTACTGATTCTTGTTTGCATTTCTACGTTTCTCTTCATCAATGCCCTGTTTGCCACCTTATCTACTTTTTCATTCCCTTCCACTCCTATATGCGCTGGAACCCATTAAACATTTACTTGGCCTCCCTGATTTGTTATTCTTCTAACTGAGTCTCATATAGTATATCTTGTCGACTTTTTTGAATGTACAGATCTCAAAAGTTACTAGAACTGATGATGATGATGAATCTGAACATATCACAACTTTGTCTATTCACGTTTTTTTTTCCACCCACCGTAAAGCAACTACAATTGCCAGCATCTCCACTGTATATACTACTAAATTGTTAGATGTTCTTCTGGTTGGATGTATTGCCTGCCACTATGTTCTAAAATAAATGCAACCAATCATGAAATTCCCAAACATAATGAATAAGAATGAAGAAAAACATTAGCATTTTCAATCTTCAGTGAACATGAATAATTGAACAGGAATTATTCTTTTTTTTTTAATTAAATGCAGAATTCTGATTGCATGACTAATCTTGTCACCACGGCCACATGATACCCTAATAAGCAAATTAAATAAAGCACATAAATAAACTGGATGAAGAACCATCACATTCAACTCAACCTTACCAAGACAACTGCTTGTGGTTTTAGCCAACACTTCATCACAATTTCACCATCCAGTTCGGTGCATCGACCATAACAGCTTCAAGAACAGCCAGGAACCTTGGAGTTGTGATTGATGATCAGCTGAATTTCACAGACAAGAATTTGTTTAGAAATTCACGGTCCTGCAGATTTGCCGTATGCAACATTAGGAAGATCAGGCCCTTTCTATAAGAGCATGCTACACAACTCCTTGTTCAAGCTCTTGTTCTTCTCTTAGAACTTCGCTGGCTTCTATTTGCTTTTGTCAAATCGCGCCGCTCGCGTCTGGTGTAGACACGTTGTTTTGGTATGTGTGAATCTTAAGTATATTCATAATCTGCTTTACGTTTACCTGGCACTGGAAGTCCTTTCACAAACTTGTAACTTTTATGCTTAGAGCAGAACCATATATCGGTCATTTATATTTCTACAAGGAAGCCTGAAATACTACTATGATTCATCAGTTGCACCATCTAGTGGTTTGTTATTGATACAACCACAACTTCTACAAACGGAGCGCTCAAGCGGGTACTGTGAGTCGTGTTGAGGTAATTAAAATGTCAAATTAATATTTTGCCCTCAATTATTTACTTATCAGACAAGTAGCCGCATGATAAGTGGAACAATTACGTAGTATAGTCTTTATCACCCTGCAGAGGTTTCTTTTGCAAAATAATCTGCTGACTGTACACTATCCCTCAGCCTTGCCGCGCCCCCCAGTTTGGGAACCGGGTGTGCCTCACACGTACTGAAAAGTGAAGCTGCGGGCTCTTTGATCGCCACCTGGTGGCTGGCTTCAATACAGGTCATAAACCCCGCCTTCTCCATGTAAATTAATGGGACTTGAGTCAAAAAAAAATAAAAAAAATTACACTTCCAATACAATTTTCTGAAAGATTGTTTTGGTCATTTAAGGTAGTTGTTATCACGCTGATATATGTTCAATTGTTCGTTTTTGTGATAAGTTTGATTTTAGCTAGTAATTTGATGCTATAAAAATGGGGCGTGTCGTTATGTGTCGTTGATTGTGTCTGCGGGAGTTTGGGCGGGACTTTGATACCGCGGCTCCATCTCACGACACTACTGAGCAGACTCTGGCTCCAAACGAATCTCTACTGCGCAGACTCGGGATCCAAATGACATAATTTACTCAAGATGGCAGCGGCCATACTGAGATGCTTTGGCTTCACTTTTCTATAGTGGAAGGAAGTGGAGATGCGTCGTCCATCTTTTTTAGTCTATGTTGGGAACCAATGGAGTAGGCGATTTGCGCTCTATTAATTTGGTCTGTTACGATGCTCTATGTATTTGATTACTAATGCCTGTGTAGTACGGCGTTGCACACAGAGGACAAAAACGTTCAGCCTCGACTCTTTATCTTAATTATTATTATTTATTTATTTTTTTTAGCAAACAAGTCAGAATGAAAACAATGTAACATCTCAATTCAACATCATCCAGCCCTCCCTCCCCCCTCCCTCTTCAACCCTGCGGTCTCTTACAATGGGGAGCACAGTGAAAAAAAAAATCTTTATCTTAATTTGTTAAAATGTGCAAAGGGTACCAAATTGAACAAAACTATATAAATGCAAAATTTGAATTCGTGAATATATAACGGTATCCATGGTATAGCAAAATCCATATCATGGAGCGACATAATACTGGTAGTCACTTTCATACCGGTATAGTGCCCACC